ATGATACGTCATGTTTGTAGTCGACCAATGAAGATGAGTTTACATATCACCTTGGGTTCGTCCTTCACCTTCTCAAAATGATCCCACACTTTGGATTTCCTGCCCGACATGTTATTAACTAGCCTGTGAAATAACCGCAGGTACCAGCCCTGGAAATCAGGGGCTGCACACATGCTGCATCTTTACCAGCCTGGAAAACGTGAGGTCGTTTTGAGGTTGTTTTGACAAGGCGCAGCTTCTAGTGGAGTTTCACGTTTGTCTGTTTGTTTGTTTGTTTTTTCTGCGACTAATGAAATCTTGCCAACTAATGACCTTTATGGTCGACCAACGTTTGGTCAACTATTAGGGGGCAGCCATACTTGTAGTAGTAAGTAGCAATGTGAAACATAAAAATAATGTACAAAACAAAAAATACAAAATGCAAAAAAGCACATTGATAAGAATCTGATAAAACAACAATGTAAACACTGGGCATCAACAAAAAAATATACATGTTTAACATTACTTAATGGTGAATCTTTCTGCAGTAAATCAAATGATTGTTCTACTCCAGTGGTTCCCAGGTGGTGGGTCTTTGTCCAATAGTGGATCATGGGATATTCTGAATGGACCACAAGTGACTCACAAATGTGTCAGTTTCATTCAGTCAATCATTTTATGTTTAAGTGCAGTAAATTTCCAGCACAGCGCTTTTATTTTGAAGTGCAGTTTCCTACTGTAGAGTAAGCGACTACTTGACAGAGACAGCGAAGTAGTTTGACAACATTGCCAAAGGCAAGTATGATGCTGAACGTATGGACCTTGTACAAATGACTAAGAGAAAATCTGGACCCCAGGATGGACCAGTGGGGAACCACTGCTCTACTCTGTGTGACTGACAGGAGAGATGATCAGAGGGGCAGAGTTTTTACCATCATTGTTAGTACAAGGACCAAAGTATGGGTAGAGTTTCTCAGTGAAGCGGCAGCCAGTAAAGGAGTAGATAAGAGCTGCAGCATCAACATCATAAAAGGAGACCAGACCCTCCTCATAATCCACAAACACCCCCACCTTCTCAGGCCGAGACTTCAGAGAGAGACGGACTGAAGGGTCGGCATGGGCATAGTACTCATTTTCATTTCTCAAAGATAATAACCAGAAGCCATTCTGGGGGTTTGCTGGGATTCTTCCCTTCCTGTTGATCGACTCTCTGACCACTCCTAAATTCCATTCAGTCTTCCCTTTAACCTGAACCTCATAATAAAATCTTCCTGAAGAGAAACTCTGCTTTGCTAAGACATTAACACAAATATCAAATCTCTCTGGATTGTTTGGGAGATTCTTAGAAACTTTACCAAGCTTTACTTGTTTCCCATCATCAGACAGGATGAGGTTGGGATGTGCTGTATCAGGATCGAGTGTCACATCCACTGCAGACTGCTGGACCCTCTTCAGCTCGACCTCAAACAGCTTCTTCATCTGTTCACTGAGCGTCTCCTCCAGCTGACTCACAGCTCTCCTCACAGTCCCCTCATATGAAGGTGGACGGACGCTGACCTCTGTCCAGTCCTTGGTGGGTGGAGCAGTGTTCAGGGACATGAAGCTTTGGAGGAGGTGGAGGTGGTCTTCAGAGCGTGAGAGCTGCTCCACCTCAGTGCTCCTCTTCTTCAGCTCAGAGATTTCCTGTTCCAGCTCTTTGATGAAGCCTTCAGCCTGTTTCTCTGTCTTTCTCTGCTTCTCTTTGATCGTGTCCATGAGCTCGGCCTGGCTTCTCTCAACAGACTCCTTCAGAGCGGTGAAGACCTGAACACCATCTGCTATCTCTCTGTCTGCATCTTCCTCACTGAGCTCCACTGAGTGTTTGATCTCCTCAATCTTCAGTCGTCTCTTCTGGATCATCTGCTGAATTTCAGTCTCTGTCTTCCCCAGCTCGGCCTTCTTTCCTTCATATTCTTCTCTCAGAGGAACAACATCATGTGTCTTGTGGTCTAAAACAGTGCAGAGCATGCAGACACACATCTGGTCGGTCTTACAGAACAGCTCCAGCAGTTTATCGTGCTTCAGACACATCCTGCCTTCCAGGTTCTCCACAGGGTCGATCAGCTGATGTCTTTTCAGGCCTGATCTTGTCAGATGAGGCTCCAGGTGAGTCTCACAGTAGGATTCCAGACACACCAGGCAGGACTTCAGGGCCTTCAGTTTGGTTCCAGTGCAGACGTCACAGGGAACTTCTCCTGGTTTGGAAACTTGTTGCTCTGAGCTGCTGCTGCTGCTGCTGGCTTTCTGTTGAGCTGACTGTCTGAACTGAGCAGCCATCTCAGAGATGAAAGTGTTGACTCGAAGTTGAGGTCTTGGATCAAAAACCTCTTTACAGTTTGGACACTGATAGGGGACATTAGTACTCCAGTGTTCAGTGATGCAGGTTTTACAGAAGTTGTGTCCACATGGTGTGCTGACTGGATCAGTGAACACATCCAGACAGATGGAGCACAGAAACTGATCTTCAGTCAGCAGACAGCTGGCAGCAGACATATCTACACTCTGAGGACACAAAGTGTGAGAAAACAAAACTAAAATTAAACCATGATTAGAAGAAGAAGAGTCATCCTTAATGCTGTTGTTATATCACACCTGAGAGCCAAATTTTATAAGGAAATGCAGCGATGCAAATATGTGCTGTGGTTGTCGATGAATTAGCGGCCACAACCTGCATGTATCCAGAGTCTGATTCAATAACCTGGACTATGCTGCGAGTGAAGGAGAGCTCAGATGTGTTGTTCAGCAGTGATATTTCAATGAGATCACTATGCTCAGAAAATAAGTGACAACATGGTGATCTTCATTTCAAAACATTTACTTTGACTGCCTGGAGAAATACTGAATATAGTAGATAATAAATATGACAATATAATCTTGAACTAGGCTTGTGTGGTATCTATTTTTTCATACCTGAGTACCTTCCTGACATTTCACAGCGGTTTACAGTACACGACGGTATTAAGGCTCATTTATACTTCCTTTACATATGAAAATAGATATACACGTTACAAACCAATCACAGCCCACAGATATCTTTCTCTTCTTCTGTAAATATTCAGTCACATAAACACAGAAAAGTTGATCATGTTAGTGCAGGGCTACCCAGAGCTTTACATCTGTCCCACAGACGATAGGTCTACACACTACAGGCTACACAATGATTGTTAGGGTTGCTTAGCAACTTCAGACGCAACCTGCTGCCACGCTCTTGAAAACTGTCCCAAACAAGGCTCAAGAGTAGTAAGAATTAAGGCAGTTCTGAAGGTAAAAGGGGGTCCGACCCAGGACTGGTAAGGTGTACCTAATAAAGTGGCCTTTGAGAGTATATGGAATACATTTGGATTTCTTTCCTCTTATTGTCTTTTATTTATCTCCTATTTACATATGTTTTAAAGGGCTGACAGAGCCAGGTTAGATGTGTTGCACTGCATTTAAATGTACAATTGTACTTTTTAATGTATATGACAATAAACTAAAACTTGAACTTGGACCTCAGTTAAAATGTAGCCTGAGTGGAACTTCCTGTCTGAGTAAAGCTCAGGTTTTCAGTTCACATCAGTTGTTTAAACACAGTAAATATGATCAGCTGTACAGCCTTACAAAGACAGACAGCAGCCACTACACAAACAGTGAAGCTGTTGTCACAGTTTTATATATAAACGGCTTTAGAGGCAATAAGAGAAGCTCCAAAGTGAATCCAGGCTAGGACAGTTAGCTTTTAGCATGACTAGGTTTCTCTTTCTCTGTAATTGATCCTGGTTTTAACTAACCTTATGACGGAATCTTCAGTTTCCTGTTGTCTCTGTAGGTCAGTGAACTCACCAGTGTTTGTTGTTGATGAAAACCTGCTGGATTCAGTTGAATGTTTCTGTAGAGAGAAACACAGAGACTTGTCTCCACTGCAGCTCTGCTCTCACTCACACTGACTTTCAGGAAATGTGACATCATAGCTCTGCTCTGTCATTGTTGCTCCACCTCTCAGTGTACAAGGAGGAAACATTTCATACTCCTGTTTATGATCATGTTTTACTGAGGAGAGTTTTCACTGACTGATGCAACACACAGGAATGTTATGTGTTAAGTCAAAAGCTGAAGATGAAATTCTGGAGATTCACTCTTGTTGTGCAAATCATGCCAGGCGACGCCCACAAACACTGAACTGGTGCAATAAACTGCACATCAAATATGTTGTTAAGAGGAGACACCCCAGGTGAATAAGATAAAGTCTTAAAGAAGGGACTGTTCTCTACTTGTCACAGGATAGGGGTGGCTGGGGTGTGACTTGTTCATATATATACATATATATATATATATATATATATACATATATATATATATATCAGCTCCTGGAAACTACAACATTTTTTCCTTGAGAATAAGTGACCCTCCCTCCATCATAACTTACTTGTTAGATTTTTAAACCTCACCCTTTGATGTCTGAAAGTTAAAAGCAGAAGAAAATCCAGGAGTTTAAAATCATGGAAACTGTTTTTATTTTGAGCCAAATTTGAAATAAGATGTTGAATAAAGTGATTTTGAGGAAATATCACATTTATTTTTTCTGAAGCGTTTGTTGCACATGATGTGTCCAAGGACCGTCGGAAATGTGAAAATCCACAATAATTTCTGTTCTTACAGCGTCTGGCTGTGATAAATGGAGAAATGTTGGTGATTTTGTTCAGAAGGCATGTTTGTTGTTAGCCAATCTCAGTTTCCCTCTTTTTGCCCCTGTCTTGTTGTTACTTTTCTGTGTACATAAACCTGTGTGTTTCCCTTTGTTCTTTGTCTGTTCATCTGCGTTCATTCTTGTGTTTTTGGTGTCGTCTCCTGTCTGGTGTCTTTTGTTCTATTTGGATTTTTTTTTCCTGAGTTCATAACGTTATCTCGGTTGGTTTCCAGTGTTTGGTCCTCTGTCATGTAGACTTTCAGTTACCTGCCTGCTCTGGATGTTTTTTATTGTCTTTATTTCAGCTCGCTTTTTGTTGAACCTAAAACCTGCCCTCTGCTCTGCATTTGGGTCCTTCCAGAAGTGATCCCTGACAATGTTATCAAGACAACAGAAAAAAATAGATGATAAAAACTAGATACCAGAATAACCAGGAATGAAAATATTTAAACAGTTGTTACAATCACTACAAGTGATTTTTTTTTAATTCAACTTTTTTCTTTCATTTGAGGAAAGTGAACTGTATTAAGTTTCTTCACAGACATGAACTGTTTTAATGATGACAGAGTAGCCTAATAAAATGCTTTACATGCGATCTGTTCAACTTCCACATGAATTCTTATGTAAATCAGCATCATATCAGTTTGCTGCTGTAGATTAACCAGCTGAGCAGAACTGTCCCCTCAAATACAGAACATGAAAACACAGAGAGGAAAGAAATACAACACAACAGCTTTTATTAAAGATCGCTCAGATACAGTCAGGGCTTCACATCTGGACAGATGTTACGTTTAAGAACTCTCAGGGCTGCTGTGAAACTGCACCCACTCAGGGCAACAACAAAGTTTATCTTGGGTGTGTTGGTGCACTGGACAGTCAAGAGAGGATGGCAGAAGAAATACCCGAACATCAACTCAACTGAGCACTGATGATAATCAAGAACTGAGACATTTGCTGCTGTTTTTATCACTTTTTATTTATTTATTTTGCACTTTGAGCACTCTTCTTTTTGTGCGCCAATGTTTTGAATTAATTGACATGTTTGGGCATTGATCTCAGCCTGTGAACCTTTTTTGTGGCTGTCCAGCTCAGTTGAACTGGTGTGCAGGTCTTTCTTCTGCCATCCTCTCTTGATTTTAAGAATCCTCTCATCCTACTGACCACAAGTCTTTGTGTCACTCAGTATTTCAATAATTAAAACAGTCCAGTGTAAATACAGATCAGTGGTTTTCAAACTTTTCGTGCCTGACGCACACCAAAGGGCGAGCTAAAATCTCAAAGCACACCTGTATTTATATCTGTGCACAGTAGCTTCTATAACGTGTGTTATCACTCTTATCAAAACATTAAAAGTAAGACAGATAGTTTTCATGATAGTGTCTAATGACAGTTTTTTTCTTTTTTCTTTAGGTTGTAGGTCGCCTTCACTGGTGCTTTGTTGTAATTTTCTCTGTACAATAAAGTGATCCATCGTCACACTCACTGCTGTCTCCTTTTATATGTCATCATCCCTCACACTGGCTGCCAATCAGGGCTTTTGGTGTGTCACACACTGATAATTCCCATGCGCGAATGGCAACAAATAGGTTCCCTATGAAGGTTTTTTAAATTAAATCAAATGAAATTACATTTTTAGCTAGAGTTGCCTTTTTATTGGGAAATGGGTGCAAACAACATACTGATGCAGTCAATTAAAAATTCATTCATAACTTTTTGAAGAGGTCCACTTGAATATTGGAATAATAATGTGTGGTAATCAAAAAATCCCACAACACACACAGATTGGCATCACGGCACACCATTTAAGAGCCACTGATAATCTATGTGAACGTATTCAGTTTCTCTGACTACTAAACTTCACCATCAGCCACAGCATGTTTTCTGTTCACAGAATAAACCTTCAAATCAGACAGTTAGTATCAAAATCTCTCCAATTCAACAAAAATGAAAAGTTTATCTAAAACATTATATTATTGAGTCAACATCTAAACCAATCAGCTGTTAGATCAGGTGAGAGCCAGGTGTTTCCCATCATGCCCTGGGGCTTGTAGTCGGTGGAGACCAGCTGCAGTGCCTGGCTCTAAAAACTGCAGCTGCCTCAAACTGGTGAAATTTGGCTCATTGGAAATGAGCCGGGCCTGCACAGAATCGATCACTGCCGATCGCAGCACAATGCATGCTGGTTATTGTCCGACTTCGTTCGGACTTCCTCTGACATCATGCAAAAGTGGACAATATTCTCGCGAGATCAAGGCAGCCGCAGTTTTCAGAGCCAAACAATCTCCATCCACTGCTAAACCCAGTTACCATGCACAACCTCAAACATCTCCAGCATTAAATGCCACATACGAATTAATGCAGCAGGAATATTCATCCAAACATATCAGATAAATCAGTAAAACACTGTTTTACTGTGCAATGAATACTTGTAGTTTTTATAGCCGACCAGGAGTACCTCCTGCTGATAACACCTACAGACTTGTACTTAAGTAAGGTTTTGTACACAGGACTTTTACTTTTAGTGGAGTAATTTCAGTGTGGTATTTATACTTTTACTGACCTTAAGGATGGTGTTAGCCCACTTCGTCCACCACTGCCTGTACAATATGATATTGCCACCATCATATTAAAATTGTATAAAATATATCAATTAGAAAACAAATGTGTACAGCAAATGTTTTTCAGACATAACATAAAGGTGAAGGTGGTGTTTTTTTTAATATTTATTCAAGTTTCCTGATCATGTATAGGAGCTGGATGACCAGGTTAACATGTCTCATGTAAATGTGGCATCCTAAATAAGATCAATATTTGGATATTTTAATGTGCACATAGCAAAAAAGTCAAAATGTCTAAATTTCAAAATTGCAAATATTAAACCGTAAGTCATCTATTTGTTATTTGTCTTGAATGTGGATTCATATCTTATTTTATAACATTTCAGTTGCTTTATATTTAAAAAGAGAAAATAGTCTGCACAATCATCTGTGACAAAATTTCTTGTTTGTTTTGATGAACAGATTGAAAATGCACAACAAATACTGTTTGGATACAGGACACAAAAAAAATCACAGAAGAATCTTGTTATTGTGCATGTAATTAAGTTTTTTCAAATGAATTTAGGAAGCCATGAAAAATTTAGCAGCAGTATTTAGAAAAGAAAAAAAAACAAGAAAGCATATAAACATTTTCCAAAAAGTCCCAACTGTGCATCAAAAAAGGGGGAAAACATTCATCAGAGTCTGAAAAAGAACTCAGCATGAAAGGCCAACAGTGCTGGTAAATGTGTAATTTTCTTTTATGAAGTGTTTTGCAGTCTGTTTGCAGAAAATTAAGTGACTGTTCTACTTAGTGTGACAGAAGAGATGATCAGAGGGGCAGAGTTTTTACCATCATTGTTAGTACAAGGACTGAAGTATGGGTAGAGTTTCTCAGTGAAGCGGCAGCCAGTAAAGGAGTAGATAAGAGCTGCAGCATCAACATCATAAAAGGAGACCAGACCCTCCTCATAATCCACAAACACCCCCACCTTCTCAGGCTGAGACTTCAGAGAGAGACGGACTGAAGGGTCGGCATGGGCATAGTACTCATTTTCATTTCTCAAAGATAATAACCAGAAGCCATTCTGGGGGTTTGCTGGGATTCTTCCCTTCCTGTTGATCGACTCTCTGGCCACTCCTAAATTCCATTCAGTCTTCCCTTTAACCTGAACCTCATAATAAAATCTTCCTGAAGAGAAACTCTGCTTTGCTAAGACATTAACACAAATATCAAATCTCTCTGGATTGTTTGGGAGATTCTTAGAAACTTTACCAAGCATTACTTGTTTCCCATCATCAGACAGGATGAGTTTGGGATGTGCTGTATCAGGATCGAGTGTCACATCCACTGCAGACTGCTGGACCCTCTTCAGCTCGACCTCAAACAGCTTCTTCATCTGTTTACTGAGCGTCTCCTCCAGCTGACTCACAGCTCTCCTCACAGTCCCCTCATATGAAGGTGGACGGACGCTGACCTCTGTCCAGTCCTTGGTGGGTGGAGCAGTGTTCAGGGACATGAAGCTTTGGAGGAGGTGGAGGTGGTCTTCAGAGCGTGAGAGCTGCTCCACCTCAGTGCTCCTCTTCTTCAGCTCAGAGATTTCCTGTTCCAGCTCTTTGATGAAGCCTTCAGCCTGTTTCTCTGTCTTTCTCTGCTTCTCTTTGATCGTGTCCATGAGCTCGGCCTGGCTTCTCTCAACAGACTCCTTCAGAGCGGTGAAGACCTGAACACCATCTGCTATCTCTCTGTCTGCATCTTCCTCACTGAGCTCCACTGAGTGTTTGATCTCCTCAATCTTCAGTCGTCTCTTCAGGATCATCTGCTGAATTTCAGCCTCTGTCTTCCCCAGCTCGGCCTTCTTTCCTTCATATTCTTCTCTCAGAGGAACAACATCATGTGTCTTGTGGTCTGAAACAGTGCAGAGCATGCAGACACACATCTGGTCGGTCTTACAGAACAGCTCCAGCAGTTTATCGTGCTTCAGACACATCCTGTCTTCCAGGTTCTCCACAGGGTCGATCAGCTGATGTCTTTTAAGGCCTGGTTTTGTCAGATGAGGCTCCAGGTGAGTCTCACAGTAGGAGGCCAGACACACCAGGCAGGACTTCAGGGCCTTCAGTTTGGTTCCAGTGCAGATGTCACAGGGAACTTCTCCTGGTTTGGAAACTTGTTGCTCTGAGCTGCTGCTGCTGGCTTTCTGTTGAGCTGACTGTCTGAACTGAGCAGCCATCTCAGAGATGAAAGTGTTGACCTGCAGTTCAGGTCTGGTGTAGAAAAGCTTTTTACAGTTGGGACACTGACACTTGACATTCATTTTCCAATGTGTAGTGATGCAGGTTTTACAGAAGTTGTGTCCACATGGTGTGGTGACTGGATCAGTGAACACATCCAGACAGATGGAGCACAGAAACTGATCTTCAGTCAGCAGACAGCTGGCAGCAGACATGTCTACACTCTGAGGACAAAAATAGAGAACAAACAAAACTGCAATTACATATCTTTGGATCAGTAGTTTCCTAACATTTAACTATGATTAAATGATTATGAGAGAGCAGCAGAGTGGAGGATGTGAAGTTGAAGATGGTGTTTATGTCGTTCTTAATGTTGATGTCAAGGCAGCCAAAGTGACACTTAGACATTGTTGCAGCCTGTTGTTATTTTATTGATGGTCACATTCCAGCTTATTAACACAAACAAAACTCCTCATCCACTATTTGTTGGTGTTACAGTAATCTGATATTATGTTTTTTAATAACAGCCCATTCTTGGAACCCATTGGCAACAGCAGATATTTTGGGAAATCCAGTGTAGCCAGTGGGTATTTGGTCTGGTGATGGACGGTCCGATTCTTTTTACAGTTCCGGTTCCTTCGAGTTGATACTTTGAGTTCTGATACATTTTGCAACATACAGTGTCATTTTCGACAGCTTGTGCTGTCCACCCCACAAAACCTCTGTTCAGTACCAGTCAGGTATGAGTTTACATCAGTAAAATTTATATTAATTTAAATGCATTTCAGCATCCTACATAGGCCATGTAAGCTTCTTCGAGGGAAAGTAGCACTGCAGACGTCTCCGTAATCTTCGCAAGCTTGTGCTGCATTTGTGTCAGAAAAATCTGAAAAATGTAGGGCTGCCCCCGACTCAGAGTTTTCCTAGTCAACCAATAGTTGTCATTTAGGGCCATTAGTCCTGCATGTTTCTGATATGAACGTAATGATTACATGATATATGTTGGTGGTTTGAGTTGAAGGTGTGAGAAAGAATAGTATCAGTAACATTGTTAACACTGTGCTACATTACAGAGAAATACAAACAGTACTAATGAACCTTCATTAATATAGGCCTATATTTTATCTCCAAGTGCACGTCACACACTGAGCGAGCCGCCTGTTAATGACGCTGTGGGCTAATGGGCATGTAGCTACTTCCATGTTTCACATGATACGTCATGTTTGTAGTCGACCAATGAAGATGAGTTTACATATCACCTTGGGTTCGTCCTTCACCTTCTCAAAATGATCCCACACTTTGGATTTCCTGCCCGACATGTTATTAACTAGCCTGTGGAATAACCGCAGGTACCAGCCCTGGAAATTAACCTGACTCCTGTCTGACTGCTGAGCGTGGACACTTCCTGTGTCTGTCCTTTCAAATTAAAGTCACACATGGTCCAGTCATATGGGTTTTGATTTATTTTGGCAAGATGCAGCTCCTAACAGAGTTTCACATTTGTTTGTTTGTTTGATTCTGTGACTAAGCGGCTAGTGAAATCTTGCTAACTAATGACCTTTCTGGTAGACTAATGTTTCGTTGACTAATAGGGGGCAGCCCTAGAAAAATGAGTCCCCCATCATATATCATTTCTCACCTGATCTGTTTCCTTTGTTCTTCATCATTAATGTGTTATTTAAACTCTTACAGCAATAAAATACAACATATTGTCTTTGTGGCGTCCATGTTGTTACCACATTACAACTCAAACCTAATTTTCACACTGAACTCGGAAGAACAACCACCCGAGGAGCACATGACTGCACCATTGACCTTGGCTGGCGGAGGTCCTGACCTGAGTCCGATTTAATCCGTCCTCGTTCCTCTACAAACACCCTACTGGGGAGATTTCAAAAGAAAGAAAAGACAACACTGTGGCTTATAGCTCCTCTACTTACAGCCCAAGATTGTAGCAGTGTTTGCAGCTTGCAAAAAAAAAAAAAAAGACAAAATGCGGTGAATTAAACTCTCAGTTTGTTTGTGTCTTCCTCTGACTCCAGTGGTTCTTTTACCCGAGACAACAGGACATCTAGCAGGCCAATTACATGGCAAGCTTACCAGTCTAATGCTATTTGTGGAGTATAACTTGTTTTCGTCGGCTGTTCCAAGCAATAGGGGGTGAGCACTGATGCAAAATAATGTTTTATGGTGTACAGTAAAACATCAAACTTTTAGGAAGCTATCTATACGTTATATAATGTATTTTCAAAGTGATAAGCTCATGCTTGTACGTATGTAGACCCAACAGAAATATGATCTGACTGCAACGATTTGTCGTTCTTCCTGGACAAGCACAATACGTCCCACCTCGTGAGTACAGCTCACACAGTCTTGTTCAATAAGTGTAGCTGCTAGGCTGTCTGAACCAGAGCCTGATTAATTTGCATCTCGTTCACTCACAGGCAGTGTGAGCGGTACCCTACAGTAACCACGAGTGGGAGCAGGGATTCATGAGCACTTGGACGTTCGACAGGCTGACCTGGTACATATCTGACACTTACTGTAAAGGAATACTCCAACGATTTGGGAGTTATGCCCTTTCTCTGTCATTTTCATATTGAGACAACATGATCAATACCTTTTTTGTGTCTGTACGTCCAGTGGCTGGGTCTCAGCGGTTAGCATTGCGGCTTAGCTTAGCGAATACAATTGAAGTCTATAGGGGGTCAGTAGCCTGCTCGTTAAAGTGAACAAATAAACGTTACAGAAACCCTCAAGCTGGCATTTCTGCACATGCATTTAAAATAAACATGTTTAAACATTAATTCGAAAAACGAGAGTCCTTTTTAGTCGTTTTAGAAGAAGTTTGATACATGAACTATAGCTAAGCCGCAATGCTAACCGCTGAGACCCAGCCTCTGGACGTACAGACACAAAAAAGATATCGATCATGTTGTCTCAATATGAAAAGGATAGAGAAAGGGCATAACTCCCAAATCATCGGAGTATTCCTTTAAAAGAATGTTCAAAAAGATTTGTTCATTCATGGTCTAAGACCTACTCTTCTATGTGCCAGTCAAGTCAGCTCATCACTATGAACAGATACGTGCATATGAAGGGAGATATAATAAAAAATAAAGCTGATAAAAGCTAAATCTTTGTCAGACGGTAGCCGATGGGGCCTAAGGTTACATTTCTGCCAGTAAGTTCTTCCTCTCCACACTGACTGTGGACCAGCTGCTCATTTATCTTTGTGATAATTGTTTGTCAGTTGTATACAGACTAATGTTTAATTATTGTTCATCTCTGTTTATTCTCTATACCCCCCCCAAACACTGATTGACCTCAGTCAAAAATCTGCCCACAGTAGGACTTCCTGTTTGTGAAGAGCTCAGGTTTTCAGTTCACACTGGCTGTTGAAACACAGTAAATATTATCAGCTGTATTGCCTCACAAAGTCAGACAGCAGTTACTATACGAACAGTGAAGTTGAGAAAAATATTCAGATACTTTGAACGATCCAGAGGGAATCTAAGCTAGGCCAGTTAGCTTTTAGCATGACTAGTTTATGTGGTGTTTTTCCTTTGTTGTGGATTCTGGTTTTAACTTAACGTTGACCTAATACTTAGCTGCGTCTCGTCTCTGTCGGGCGGTGTACTCACCAGTGTCCTGCAGAGAGTCTGCTGTGTTGTGAAGAAATAATAACCTGCTGGATTCAGTTGAGAGAGAAACAAAGAGACTTGTCTCGACTGCAGTTCTGCTGTGGGACAGACACACTTTCAGTTTCATTGCAGGAAATGTGACGTTGCAGCTCTCCAATTTCACTGTTGCTCCACCTCTCAGTGTGGATCTGTAATTTAGGTTTGTTGCCTCTTTGGAAACTTCATGAGAAGTATTGAAATAAGAGTTAAAAACTGAGATGGAGAATCTGTCTGATTGGAGCACAGCAGTAGATTAATGGACTTCTCTGTGATTCTTTACTTTTATAAAGTAGTTGACATACAAAACATTTTAAGTAAAAGTCTTAAATGAATGTAAAGTTGCTAATTTTAGAATGAACAAAAATGCTTTATAACACACAGTAAAGCTTGTCAATGACAGACTGTGTACTTGTACCAATTAGACTTATATACTTATATATACTGTGGAGTCATTTTATTAAGAACATGTCGTCATGTGGCCACAGGCTGCAGTTTGTTATTAACTCCACTAGAGGGCTTCCTCAGCTCTCACTTATTCTCTACAAACTCCAAGCACTGGTTTATTGTTCACATCAGCTGCTCAAACACAACTCAAACCTTAAATAAAAAATAACACCACATTATCTTACTGAGAACAGCCAACTGTGTTTTTGATCACATGATTTGGTGTCATTAGAAACACCATCAGCTGTTTCTTTTAGCATTTATATTAATTAAAAACAAAATAATCAGTCTAAAAAAAATATTTTGCTTTTGTTTATTTAAAGAAAAGGAAAAGGATATAACTTCTGTCTTATTTCTAAAATTATATTCAGTAATTTGTGCAATTTTACAACACTTCCTATTTAAAAAATGATCATACCATAAATATTTTGGCATCCCGACATTTAACTAACAAATGATTTTTATTTCTGAGCGCATTTTCCCCCTGATGATTTAACAGTCTTGAAGGCAGGTAATGCAGTTGTGACAATTAATTTAAAAAATAAGGAAAAATCTAGAAAAAAATATAATACACCACAAATCACCACTTAATGTGCATTTATTAAATTAGGTGATAGTGACTCTTTCTGTACAGATTGAAATGTTTTTTCTACCCTGTGTAACTGACAGGAGAGATGAACAGAGGGGCAGAGTTTTTACCACCATCCTTATCACAAGGACTGAAGAATGGGTAGAGTTGCTCAGTAAAGCAGCAGCCAGTAAAGGAGTAGATAAGACCTGCAGAATCTACATCATAAAAGGAGACCAGACCCTCCTCATAATCCACAAACACCCCCACCTTCTCAGGCCGAGACTTCAGAGAGAGACAGACTGCAGGGCCAGCAAGAGCTTTGTACTCATTTTCATTTCTCAACCATATCGTCCAGTAACCATCCTGAGGGCTCAGTTTGATTTTTCCCTTCCTGTTGATCGACTCTCTGGCCACTCCTAAATCCCACTTAGTTTTCCCTTTAACCTGAACCTCATAATAAAATCTTCCTGAAGAGAAACTCTGCTTTGCTAAGACAGAATTACACGAGGAGAATCTTTCTTGGTTGTCTGGAAGATTCTTCTTTACATCACCATATCTAACTTCTTTTCCATCATCAGACAGGATCAGTTTGGGATAGGCTGTATCAGGATTGAGTGTCACATCAACTGCATACTGCTGCACTCTCTGCATCTTGGTCTCAGCAAGCAGTTTCTTCATCTGTTTACTGAGTGTCTCTTCCAGCTGATTCACGGCTCTCACCACAGTCTCTTCATATGATGGTGGGCAGATGCTGACTTCTGTCCAGTCCTTGGTGGGTGGAGCAGTGTTCAGGGACATGAAGCTTTGGAGGAGGTGGAGGTGGTCTTCAGAACGTGAGAGCTGCTCCACCTCAGTGCTCCTCTTCTTCAGCTCAGAGATTTCCTGTTCCAGCTCTTTGATGAAGCCTTCAGCCTGTTTCTCTGTCTTTCTCTGCTTCTCTTTGATCGTGTCCATGAGCTCGGCCTGGCTTCTCTCAACAGACTCCTTCAGAGCGGTGAAGACCTGAACACCATCTGCTATCTCTCTGTCTGCATCTTCCTCACTGAGCTCCACTGAGTGTTTGATCTCCTCAATCTTCAGTCGTCTCTTCTGGATCATCTGCTGAATTTCAGTCTCTGTCTTCCCCAGCTCGGCCTTCTTTCCTTCATATTCTTCTCTCAGAGGAACAACATCATGTGTCTTGTGGTCTAAAACAGTGCAGAGCATGCAGACACACATCTGGTCGGTCTTACAGAACAGCTCCAGCAGTTTATCGTGCTTCAGACACATCCTGCCTTCCAGGTTCTCCACAGGGTCGATCAGTTGATGTCTTTTCAGGCCTGAGATCGTCAGATGAGGCTCCAGGTGAGTCTCACAGTAGGAGACCAGACACACCAGACAGGACTTCACCGCCTTCAGTTTGGTTCCAGTGCAGACGTCACAGGGAACTTCTCCTGGTTTGGAAACTTGTTGCTCTGAGCTGCTGCTGCTGGCTTTCTGTTGAGCTGACTGTCTGAACTGAGCAGCCATCTCAGAGATGAAGGTGTTGACATACAGCTCAGGTCTGGTGTTGAAAAGCTTTTTACAGTTGGGACACTGACACTTGACATTAATATCCCAGTGTTCAGTGATGCAGGTTTTACAGAAGTTGTGTCCACATGGTGTGCTGACTGGATCAGTGAACACATCCAGACAGATGGAGCACAGAAACTGATCTTCAGTCAGCAGACAGCTGGCAGCAGACATATCGACACTCTGAGGACACAAAGTGTGTGAGAACAAACTTTAATTACACATCTTTAGAGTGTTTGTTTCATTAAATCAAACTCTGATAAGAGGAAAATGAGAGAGCAGCAGCGCGGAGGTGATGGAGATGATGTTGATGATGTTGATGCGGATCAACACAATTAATTTTTAATAGCCCATATGATGCGAGAAGCAGCTGGCCCCTAGGCATTTTCAAATGGTCGAATCTGGCCCCCATTCATAAAAGTGTGGACACCTCTGGTCTATGGTACCATGTTGCCTGTAGGTAAGATAACCATTTTTAGCCCCTTACGCTCACACAGTACATCCTCAGTCATGTTGCAATACTTAAGAAAGAGAGCCACGGCTGTAAGGAAGCCATTACCACAGTTTATACTGTAACATGACTCTGGAGGCCATGTTGAGTCTCTTTTTGGGGGCCTTCCTCACATGGTTCAGCTCTATCAACTCTCTCCATAGGAAATAACAGATGAGTAAAGTTTAATTTTTTAATTGTTTAATGTTCTTTATTTGATATCCAAGTAATAGAAAATTGTTAAAATGCAGATGTTGACTTGAAGCACCATCGTACATCTATAGAATCCTACCATGACAGTTTTTGGCATTGTGTATTTAGTTTAATACACTGATCAAATAACAGTCATCACTGTTTTCTTTCTATCGTTCCAGATAAACCTAGATAAGTTTAATAATGATAGTTTCAATAAAGTTCAGGCTATGACACTGTATAGTCTACTTGAACAGTCTTCTCTGCAGAACAGACTGTATATATTTTACACGCACTCTCTTCCATTTATATGCATTGTTGGAGCCATATGTTTGATTTGTGTTAAACATATTATACCGCCAAGCCATATGCCTCTGTCACCAGTTGAGGTGAGAAACATCCCCCTGCAGAGCTGGAGAGCCACCACCGTTTTAGACATGTGCATGTGCGAGTTTCAGAGCCATCATTTTAGATGCGCGCTATGCTTGTTTATAAAAGAAATAGAAAACTACCTAGCGCAGTAGCTCGCTATCTAACCCTGTCTCCTTATCAGCTCAGAATATAGAAACTTTGCGGCCAAAAGGTATGATGCACAAGACAAACATATGGTTAAGAACATACCTTTAAAATATCTCAAAATGTTATGTAAGGTCTGGTACAGTGATCAAATGAGGGAAATACAAAAGGTGCACTGTTTAAATAAAATGGTGAAATAAATTTACCAAAGAAAGTAACAGGAAAAACATTTTAACAGTGTTCCAGGACGGGAGCCAGGTCCAGCACTCGGGATGTTTTCTGCTACCTTTTTTTTCACTATTATTTCCTGTTAGCCTGTATTTACCCCGGGCCATCACAAGTTGATAACGAGCCCCTGAAACCAGTCCAATACTGTCCAAATCAGCCACGCAGTTGCTGAAATACAGTCTAGATAAGTGACTATGCTAATCAATGCTAATTAGGCTAATTATGCAAATATCCCAACATATTCAAGTTAGCATCCGTCAGTTTTTTAAATGCTGGGCACCCATTCTGTACATTTCTATCATAAAACTTTCAACACTTCCAGGTTCATATTGCTGACAGGTCGACTCTCTGGAAGGCTAGTGACTGGAAATTCAGTTTTCTCTGATTTGAGGTATAGTGACGAATTTAGGCCGAAGTAAGTGTGATTTTCAAGATAGAAAGGTCGACTTGGGCTCAAATTAAAGCTCATCAGCTTGGGAAGTTTTCTATGTACAAGTGAAGCAGTGATAATAAACAATGTGATGAAAAATAATTTTTGATGAGAATTTGTCAAACGGACAGTTAATTTTTGTTTTCTTTGGGGGGGAGATATTGTGTTTCGAAATAAAATGGCAGCAAGCCCCAGAATCTTATTTTGCTCCTTTCCCCTTTGTGTACAAAATTAAAAAGACTGTGTTAATAAGGAATGATGTAAAATATAAAATATAAAAGGTGCAGAAGGTTAAATGTGAAATGCTGTCAGAGGGTGGATAATATCTAAATAAATACAAATGCCAGTAAAGTGTAAATATCTAAAGAAAATCTCAATGCAAACTGTGCAATGTTAACATAACTGATGATCCAGCTTCTCCTCTGCTGATGAATTTATACATTTTCAGATATAAAACTATTTATACTTTGGCTTGGCTGAATGCTTGATGGTTATTAATTACTAATTAATGTGGACTCATGTTGCCCAGTATGCCCAGCTGCTTTCCACCCTGAGTCAGTCCAGAGCTGTAACTAAACCTTACGAACTTGCGTGATTTGCAGAGCCTACGCAACTTGCGTAGTCGGCGTACGGACACTCGGCTCTGTTCGTGGGACATTTCATGAGCTCCTGGGGGCCCTGTGCTCACCACGGGGCCACAAGCAGCTGTTTAATTCGCTCATGCGTCGTGTCGGCTCTACGCTGCTGATTCTGACTTGAACTGAATTCTGACCAAATACTTAAGCTGCGTCTCGTCCCAGTCAGTGGGTGTAGGCTACTCACCAGTGTCCTGCAGAGATCCTGCTGTGTTGTTCAGAAATAAAAACTTGCTGGATTCAGCTGAGAAAGAAACAGAGAGACAAGTCTCGACTGTAGCTCTGCTGTGGCTCAGACAAACTTACTTTCACTTCAGGAAGTGTGACGTTGCAGCTCTCCTGTTTCACTGTTGCTCCACCTCTGGGTGTCGCTCTGTAGCTGAGGTGGTATTGTCCCATTGTGAGATTTGAAAAGGAGGAAAATAAGAGTCTAAAACAGAGGTGGAGAATCATTTTGATTGGAGCACAGCAGCAGATTAATGTGGTTCTCTTTTTAATAAGTAAAAGTCTTAAGTGAAATAAAGTTGCTGATTTTTGTGTGAATTCAAAATGCTACAGAACACACAGTAAAGCTTGTTAATGACAGACTGAGCACTTGTACCACTTAGATATTATTATTCTCCCTCTGCTTCAGCCTGTGGAGTCATTTATTAACAGCATGACGACATGCTGTTAATAATTAATGGACTTCTCTGTGATTCTTTACTTTTATAAAGTAGTTGACATACAAAACATTTTAAGTAAAAGTCTTAAATGAATGTAAAGTTGCTAATTTTAGAATGAACAAAAATGCTTTATAACACACAGTAAAGCTTGTCAATGACAGACTGTGTACTTGTACCAATTAGACTTATATACTTATATATACTGTGGAGTCATTTTATTAAGAACATGTCGTCATGTGGCCACAGGCTGCAGCTTGTCATGATCTCCACTAGAGGGCGTCCTCAGCTCTCACTTATTCTCCACAAACTCTCAGGACTAGTTCAGTGTTCACATCAGCTGCTCAAACACAAGTCAGACCTTAAATAACACCACATCATCTTACATTACCAACTGTCTCTCATGCAAGAACAGATGATGGAGTTTTTAACGACATGTTTTTCAGCTTTTAGATTCATCAGAAGCAAAATAATTTAATCAGACAGAATAATTTTCATTTTGATTTTGTTTATTCAAAAAAAAAGATGTTAAGAGAAAATGACTTTTGTTTTATTTATAAATAACTTTAAGCAATTTGTGCCAGTATGCAACACTTTTTATTTCAACAGTGATCAGATATTAAAACGTTTTTTTAATTTGACATCCAGACATAAGGATCATAGCGATGATTCTTCTTTGTGAATGCATTGTTGTAACATTGCGTCCGGAAAATAAACCAAATCATCATCGCTTTAACAAAAATTAATTCAGACACAATTCCTAAGAATTCATAGCAGACCTGAGTTTGATTTTCATATGAATACATGGTCATTTATAATAAACATAAATCCTCGACTGCCTGATAAATTATAAATCATCCATCCTGAGCTTTCAAACATTTGCCTCCAAGTAGGGCATTAAATAACACATCTCTTATCTTCCAGGGGGATTTAGTTTCACCAGGTATATATTTGATACATACACCATTTCCAAAATGTACAAACATAATTCATTTATAATTTCTGAAATGTTTGGAGATGCTGTTTTAACACACTTTTAATATTCTCTTAAACAATATACACTGAATAATTCCAAGTCCAGTCAATCTGTGGTTTGACCCAGGGACAATTGCAATAGTAGGTCATTGAAGTTTTTTTGTGATCTCTTGGGACATCCAAATAACATATTTAAAGTATACCATTACATATTTAGTGGATCAAGGAAAATTCAGGGCTCGAAATTTGGGGCCGTTATGTCACAGCTTCAGACAAAGAGGTGCATGTGTCTGCTTCAGAACATGATATTTTCATGTAATCCAAACACTAGTTTAAGAATGCTTTTTCACATATAACCATCAGATACGACCTGTTCTGAATGTATATGTGCACTGAGGAGGTCCCCGTACCCTAAAATGATCTTTTTAATCCAAACAAAGTCAGTAAAATTAGCTTATAAATCATATTATCATTCAGCACATATACAAATGTGTTTGTCCATGAAAACCATGATGCATATCAGCACCCAGACTGAAAGCTTGAGTGAGACCAAACATGAAACATGCCTCTGCTTTTTCATTCTTTGGTTTGACTGTTGGTGTCACTGAAGGTTGATAGCTGTACTTGAGAAGGGTTATTATGTTGAAATATCATCTAGAGATAAAAAGTTTTTCATAATACCAAACTAGTATTCCTGCCTTGGGTGGTGCCAGTTAGTGAAAAGTCTGACCTGGGCCCATAAAACACAATCACCAGTGATTTCCCATGATGTTTTTGACAAGTAGAAGCTTCCACTGTTGCCCTGTATGTGTTTCCTGTCCCATATAAGATGTATTGGATGTCTTTTTCTGGCACATCATCATGAGGCATGTAAAAAGTAGCAATGTGACACATAAAAAAAATACATAAAAAAACATATTAGACGAAGCTGTTCGGCCCCGTGAATGAACATTTAAAATTAAAAATTAAAAAAAAAAAAAAAACGCCCAGATGGACATGTTGATAGAAGCACTGTTCTCTAAAGTTTTTGCAGTGAAGAATTTTTGTACCATCAGAGAACTTAAAGTCTGAAATATCACCTCAACACAAAGCATTTAGCAGCGAACCCAGAGGTCTGAGCTAGCACAGCCTCTGATGCTAGTGCTAGGAGTCAGCCTCATCAAGCGACACTCGAGCAGGTGTTCAGACTGTGTAAGTCTTCCTGTGACCGACTAACTAACCGCCTTGCAAAATGGATTGCAAAGGACTGCAGATCAATTTTGGTGGTGTAGGACAGGGGGACAATTGTGTCCAAATTCTGTAAGCTTTACTGCAACACATCTGCCAAAATTTATTTGAATTGAATTTTTTGAAATAGCTTGACCGCAATAATTGATGTATGCAATTAATTTTGATAAATTCATCAACGAACATTCTTAGGATTACAATAAAACCAAATCCACTCTTGGTCATACTGGGGGCATCAGGGAATACTAGGAGTCTGCAGAATACTCAGCGCCGCCTTCTGTCTTACGGCCTACTATGCGGGAAAAAACTCATCCTTTTACATTGGAAATCGAAGGAGACACCAACTTTTAGGGCCTGGGTAACTGCATTGACTGATACATTACATCTTGAAAGGATTCGGTATGCTCTGAACAACAAGCTGGAAGACTTCGACAAGATCTGGAAACCAATAATCTCATATTTAGGACAATATATATTTCTATTCTTATTTATCTCCCCAGGTATTGTTATTTTTGTATTTTCTAATTTTGTATTTGTATTACAGTTCTGTAATATGTTTGTTTATAATGGAAATGAGGCAATGTTTATACCAAGAAAGATGGTACTGCTGTTTTACTGTTGCTTCACAATAAAAATATTTGAAACAAATTCATCAAACATATAATTAATTAGACTAACGTTTTCAATCACTTAACCCCCAATAAAAAAAATGTTTTCACTATTTTTCCGGTTACCTGGTTAAGAAAGATTTGGAAAATGGGAAACGGGTTAATGGACCATTAATAGCTTAAGAACAGAGTGCTAAAATATTGACATTTGACTTTGAAAGCATTATCTGTTACATTAAGTGACAGTTTCTTTTGTTGGTTCTGTCTTCCATGAGTTCTGAGTCAAATTGGAGAATGGTCTCTATCCCCAAAGTTGCTTCAGACAACAGCAGGGGGAGCTTATAAGTATTTAGGAACACAGTAACATTGTCTTGTTTCAATAAGGTAGTATGGTGATGGGGGGATTACTATTATGAAAGGCATGACATAAACCTAAGATGGTAGGATAGGAAGGGGGTGATAAAGTGGTGTGTACCTTAGTAAGTATACTTATGTTATTTTACATTAAATGGCACAAAATCTTTTATGTAGAAAATGAATTTCCTATTTTACCAAGTGTGACTGACAGGAGAGATGATCAGAGGGGCAGAGTTACTACCACTGTAATTAAGACAGGGACTGAGAAATAGGCAGAGTTTCTCAGTGAAGAAGCAGCCAGTAAAGGAGTAGATAAGAGCTGCAGCATCAACATCATAAAAGGAGACCAGACCCTCCTCATAATCCACAAACACCCCCACCTTCTCAGGCCGAGACTTCAGAGAGAGACTGACTGAAGGGTCTGCACAAGCTTTGTACTCGTTTCCATTCCTCAGACTTATTATCCAGTAACCATTCCAAGGGTTCGGTGTGATTTTTCCCTTCCTGTTGATCGACTCTCTGGCAACTCCTGCATACCAGTTAGTCTTCCCTTTAACCTGAACCTCATAATAAAATCTTCCTGAAGAAAAACTCTGCTTTGCTAAGACATTAGGACAAGAATCAAATCTCTCTGGACTGTCTGGGAGATTCTTCCATACATCACCATGTTTAACTTGTTTTCCATCCTCAGACAGGATGAGTCCAGGATGAGCTGTATCAGGATCGAGTGTCACATCCACTGCAGACTGCTGGACCCTCTTCAGCTCGACCTCAGTGAAGAGTTTCTTCATCTGTTTACTGATCATCTCCTCCAGCTGATTCACAGCTCTCCTCACAGTCCCATCATAGAGTGGACAGACACTGACCTCTGTCCAGTCCTTGGTGGGTGGAGCAGTGTTCAGGGACGTGAAGCTTTGAAGGACATGGACGTGGTCTTCAGAACGTGAGAGCTGCTCCACCTCAGTGCTCCTCCTCTTCAGCTCAGAGATTTCCTGTTCCAGCTCTTTGATGAAGCCTTCAGCCTGTTTCTCTGTCTTTCTCTGCTTCTCTTTGATCGTGTCCATGAGCTCGGCCTGGCTTCTCTCAACAGACTTCTTCAGAGCGGTGAAGACCTGAACACCATCTGCTATCTCTCTGTCTGCACCTCTCTGACTGAGCTTCACTGAGAGTTTGATCTCCTCAATCTTCAGTCGCCTCTTCTGGATCATCTGCTGAATTTCAACCTTCAGCTCAGCCTTCTTTCCTTCATATTCTTCTCTCAGAGGAACAACATCATGTGTCTTGTGGTCTGAAATAGCACAGAGCATGCAGACACACATCTGGTCGGTCTTACAGAACAGCTCCAGCAGTTTATCGTGCTTCAGACACATCCTGCCTTCCAGGTTCTCCACAGGGTCGATCAGCTGATGTCTTTTCAGGCCTGACATTGTCAGATGAGGCTCCAGGTGAGTCTCACAGTAGGAGACCAGACACACCAGGCAGGACTTCAGGGCCTTCAGTTTGGTTCCAGTGCAGACGTTACAATGAACCTCTGCTGGTTTGGCAACTTGTTGCTCTGAGCTGCTGCTGCTGGCTTTCTGTTGAGCTGACTGTCTGAACTGAGCAGCTATCTCAGATATTAAAGTGTTGACCTGCAGCTCAGGTCTGGTGCTGAAAACCTTCTTACAGTTTGGACACTGATAGGGGTAATTAATATCCCAGTGCTCAGTGATGCAGGTTTTACAGAAGTTGTGTCCACATGGTGTGCTGACTGGATCAGTGAACACATCCAGACAGATGGAGCACAGAAACTGATGTTCAGTCAGCAGACAGCTGGCAGCAGCCATATCGACACTCTGAGGACAAAAAGCGTGAGAAAACAAACTTTAATTACACGTCTTTAGGTTATTTGTTTATCAAATCATGAGCAGTAGAGTAGAGGTGGTGTTCATTATTTGTTTGATGAAATCAAATTATTGTCACTATATAGATACCACAAAATCAATATCAGTGTAAATGCATGCTATATTTGAATATTTGCTCCACTTCATCTTACACACTAAACCAGCAATGCAGTGTTCTACTAGGTAAAATGATCTTTTTTTTAAAGGCCATGCACCTACATTACACAATGAGAGTTTCAACACACCGTTGTTTCTGTTTAAACAAATGTTTTTTAAGGTTTTGTAGGGGCTGGGGCTCCAGCAGGTCAGTTTATGATTAGATGTTTCAATCCCTCGATGCTCAGACTTGAGACTATGAGTGGGAGTAAAGGGGGATTTATACTTGTGCAGCAGACCCTACGCCATAGCCCACGCACGTGGCCTGCACCGTTGTGAGCATTTATTCTTAAAGGAATGTGTGAATTGAAAAAAAGACAATATCTCTGGGTCTTCTGCATCAAATTTTTACACCCTCCATCTTGAGTTTGTTAATCTTAGAAGGTTAATGCGAGATCAGGGTACTCACTTAACAATTAAAATTACAGGAAATGTGGTTTAGAATCAAGTTTCTTTTCCCTGTCTGTGTGTAGGACATGTGATGTTCCATGCAAAACATTTGAAGTTTAATAATCAAATAAATCAAGGTTTCTCATGGAAGCCTGGACGACCAGGATAGCATGAGAAAATTTGAAAACATTGTCAAATCAACATTGATTCATCTTTCAAAACCAAACACAAATCAACAGTTATTCAACCATGGTGTATGACGTTGTTTCAACAGTGAATAACAGAACAGAATGCCAGCTGGGAAGTGTCATACTTAAGGAGAAAACTTAAGGTGTTTTGTGCCCCGGTCCCAGGGGCCATATTCATAAATATTCCGAGAGTCCTCTCAGAGAGCTCCTAACTCAAAAAACTTTTAGTAAGGACTCCTAGCTTAGGGGTGATTTAGGAAAGTTCTCAGAGCGATTCTGAGCAAAGAAGGGACAGAACGTTTTATCTGAGTGAGGAGGTGTGGTTGACCCTGTTGCTAGGTGTGATGCATTCTTTTAACAGATGTGATTGGTTGTCACAGACACGCCCCTTTATAAGCTTGCATGATGTGGACACCCAGCGGAAATGAAATGAACTGCTGACTGTGAAAGTGTTGTCACTGTTAGTGTGATCACTCTGCTGATGGAAGGTTGAGACAGACTCAACTCATCACTGCTGCACTGTTGTATTTTTTTTTTTTTTACAGTTTTTCAAATGTTGTTAGTGTTGTGATCATTTTATGTCTGGTGTAACAGCATTAGGTCGGAAATGTGTGCATACCTAATGGCATCAACTACACATATTCTCCCTTCATGATTTAATCTGTAGCATTTCATTGACTCACTGTCATCCATTGTTTGGAGAATATTTCTCTGACCTCTTTGTGTTTCCACCATTTTCTCCTCTGATTAAGAAACTCTTGAGCCTCTTAAAAGTCCTCCTCCCTGCTCCTAACAGTTTTTCACCTTAGGAGCTCTTTTACGGTCTAAGATGCTCAGTAAAAAACTTCTATCTTTACACAGATTTAGTCTTAACTTTGAGGAGAAATTCTAAGAAAACGTCACAGTTCTAATAATTTTCTTAGAATATCGTCACAAGGAGCAAATCTTCGCACCGGGAATACAGCCCCTGGAATCAGTTGAATACCACACAGTAATCAGCTGTGTGTCCTTACAAAGACAGGCAGCAGTCACTACAGAAACAGTGACGCTGAGAAAAACATTCAGATACTCTGTACTTTAAACAACCCAAAGGAAATCTAAGCCAGACCAGTTTGGCTTTTAGCATGACTGTTTTTTTTTTCCTGTAATGGATTCTGGTTTAACTAAACGTTGACCAAATATTCAGTTAGTTGTCTCTTGTCTCTGTAGGTCAGTGAACTCACCAGTTGTTGATAAAGACGTGCTGGATTCAGCTGAATGTTTCTGTAGAGAGAAACACAGAGACTTGTCTCCACTGCAGCTCTGCTCTCACTCACACTGACTCTCAGTTTCGTTTCAGGAAATGTGACGTTGCAGTTCTGCTCAGTCACTGTAGCTCCACCTCTGGGTGTGAATCTGTGGGTTAGGTTTCATTGTCTCTTAGCAGTAGAAGTAGAAGCATTCAGCTGGCAGACTTTAACCCCTTCAGTCATGTCAGTAGTTTCATATCAGCCTGGTTATAGAGTTATTTATGAAGAATGTGTGTCAGGCTGCAGTTTGTTATGTTCTCCACTAGAGGGCGTCATCAGCTGTCATTTACACTGGTCTAGGTTCATGCAGCTTCTCAAACATAACCAAAGCTTTAAGTTTGGGACACCCTAGCCCTTCACGGGAACATGCAAAAACAAGGGCTAGGACCAGTTTTGAGGGGAAGTGTGAGTATTGGGACGGACCCATCTATTACATTGAATCACCTTGTGCACTTTTCATTATTTGAGCTCAGTCTGTCTTTGTTGTAGGCTCCATCTCTTTCTTTCTGAACTCACATCATGCAGGTGCTTAAAACACAGGTCATTAAAAAGTGTTGACCACCTTCTGCAGGTTTTGTTCTTGTTATTATGTTATGTTATGTTATCATTTAAAGCCTGACGCAGGCTGAGGCTGATGTCATCAGACAGGACAGCATGCAGCAAAGAGACAAGCGGATGTTTGGGTGGATGGTGTGAAAACAATGTAGAATACAGTTTCATTATAAAGTCTGTAATTCAAAATATGGAGATTTGTCTCATGTTTTTTCTGAGACGGAGGATTTTATCTTTTACTGTGAAGAATCCCAGAACAAAAAGTCTCAGTACTACTTTCCTTAATGTAGGCCTACACTTTTACAATTGTTTTCCAGTTAATGATTTTGATATTTTGTGTCTGTGTACAGGGGCTGACAGAAGAGAGATTCCAGGAAAGGAGGGCAGAGATAGACGGAAGGTGACGTACACTTACCTGCCACTTTATCAGGTACACCGGTTCAACTGCACGTGAATACAAATAGCTAATCAGCCAGTCATGTGGCAGCAGCTCAATGTATTTAGTCATGTAGACACGGTGAAGACGAGCTGCTGAAGTTCAAATGGAGCATCAGAATGATGAAGAAAGGTGATTGAAGTGACTTTGAACGTGGCATGGTTGTTGATGCCAGACGGGCTGGTCTGAGTATTTACTGGGATTTTCAGCACAACCATCTCTAGGGTTTACAGAGGATGGTCCCAAAAAGAGCAAATATCCAGTGAGCCAAAATGCCTTGTTGATGCCAGAGGTCAGAGGAGAATGGCCAGACTGGTTCAAGATGATAGAAAGGCAACAGGAAGTCAAATAAGCACTGGTTCCAACCAAGGTGTGCAGAAGAGCATCTCTGAAGCAACAACACCTTGTCCAACCTTGAAGCAGATGGGCTACAGCAGCAGAAGACCACACCAGGTGCCACTCCTGTCAGCTAACAACAGGAAACTGAGGCTACAATTCACCAAAACTGGACAATAGAAGATTGGAAAAACCACATTCAGATGGAAGCATGGATCCATCCTGCCTTGTATCAACGCTTCAGGCTGCTGCTGCTGATGGTGTAATGGTGTGGGGGAGATTTTCTTAGTACCAACTGAGCATGGTTTAAACACCACAGCCTACCTGAGTATTGTTGCTGAGCATGTCCATCCCTTTATGACCACAGTGTACCCATCTTCTGATGGCTACTTCCAGCAGGATAACGCACCATGTCACAAAGCTCACATCATCTCAAACATGACAATGAGTTCACTGTACTCCAATGGCCTCCACAGTCACCAGATCTCAGTCCAATAGAGCACCTTTGGGATGTGCTGGAACGGGAGATTCTCAACATGGATCAACTGTGTGATGTCATCATGTCAATATGGACCAACATCTTTCTAGCACCTTGTTGAATGTATGACACCAAGAATTAAGCAAGGTGTACCTAATAAAGTGGCCGGTGAGTGCACAACAAAGGTCACATAGCAGGGATGTTGCGGTTCATGGTTTGCACCTTCAGCTTTAGACCACCAGGGTGCCCTACAATTATGATTTTAAGTAAAATGAGTTTGAGGATATGTTTTCTTAAAACTGTTGATATATAATAATATAAATAATATTGTCAGCTTTATCTTCTAACAGCCATTCAGACTCTTTCTTACTGTTTTATAATTTGTATATTTACATCACTTTGTGTAAAAGTTTGAAATAACCAAAATGATTTCAGCAGCGTTTAAAAGTCATTTGACCTTTTTTCATGTTTCCTTCAGCAGAATCCTGGAAGAGTGTTTTCATAATAAGCTTGTTTGGGCCCCTTTGAGACCTGCTGACAGTCAAATTCAATTAAAACATGATGCCAACATCCCGGCAAACACTCCCTACTACTCTCAGAGAAACGCCGGCTTTCAAAGTCAATTGTGTCCGATGTGAAGAGCCGGCCTTCATGTCCCCGTCTGGAGCCTTTTCACGTGCTAAAATAAGAGTTTCCCCCTCTTTCCCCAAGTCGACATGAGCAAAGTGAGCGCCGTGAAAGGCCCAGAGAGAGCTTCCATTTGACGACTGGCAGCCTCAGGTCTTGTGTCTGTGTGACACTATGGGCCACTACAAAAGGCCGTCCTTTCTCCTGCTGCAGAATAAAACTGAGAGAAAAGAAAAGAGTTGGTGCATGATGGGGAGGAGGAGGTGGGGGGGATTTTAGAGGCAAAAAAGGGGGTCTGGCTTTTGAAACCGACCCGGCGCAGATGTACAGGGCAGGAGGATTAGGCTGCGGGTGTTGGTGAAGTTCAACCAGCTCGACTCTCCCTCCGTCGTGGCCCTTTGTGGCTCCCAGCAGCCTTGCGGTGGTAAGCTGCCTGCCGGCGTGCCAGCGGGCCTCAATGTGCGCCCGACAATGGTGGAGCCACCACCCCCACCCCCAAACCCCACCAACCTCCGGCTCCCAACTCACCCACTGCAGCTCCTCACACAGAGGATGTGATAGGGGAGCTAATGTCACCCCATCTGACCAGCAACAGTGTGAGTGTGTGTTTTTGTGGATCCATAACAATGTGAGAACAACAACCTGTTCACACACACACACACACACACACACATTGTGGGGACTCACTCAGGGGCGTAGCACCAAATTCAAGGCCCTATGCATGAGCAGTCTCTGTGGGCCCCCCTGCCTCTCTTGATCCACGTCTCTCTCAAGCTCCTTTTAATTTATTTTTTGTATTTTCTCTTTCCTTTCTGTCTCTTGTTTTTTGGAATCCTGATTTCCCTTTCTTGGAGAAAGACATGACGGTGTACTCTGGTCCTCCAGCAGGTCAGTTTATGATTAGATGTTTCAGTCTCTTGATGCTCATACTTGAGACTATAAGTGGGAGTAAAGGGATTTATACTTGTGCGGCAGACCCTACGCATGTGGTCTACGCCATTGTGAACATTTATACTCAGACAAATGTGTGAATTGAAAAAAGAGAGTATCTCTGGTTTTGCTGCATCTTAGAAGGCTAATGTGAAACTTTACTTAGTACTCGCTTAACAATTAAAGTTACAGGAAACGTGGTTTAGAATCACGTTTCTTTTTCTTGTCTACGTGTAGGACATGTGACAAAACATTTGAAGTTTAATAATCAAATAAATAAGAGTTTCTCATCAAAGCCTGGACGACCAGGACAGCATGGGAAAATAAAACTGGGAGGACTTATTAAGCTACAAATTCACAACTCCGCGATGCCAGGGATCAGCACGCCCGGGGCCCCGCCCCTGCCTGCCCCTGCCACACAATGCTCCGAACCCTGATTCCTGCCCCTGCAGGTGGTGGTGGGCTCCATGTTATTTAGTCAGGTTGAGTCCCAACTGGGCCCCAAGACCCAGCCACCCCAGGGTCTGGCTCCGGGGGGGGAGGTGGGGTCCCATGCTGGGCAAGGTATTATTGGTATATTGCTCTGAGTTTTGGTTCAGACTGTTCCCCTCTGAATAAACTGTAATAACTGTGGTGATCTGATTTTTTATTGGGCTCCATCATCATGTCAAAATTTCAGTTTGTCCAATACTTCCCATCAGCCTCAGCTGTTCTTTGAGTTCAGGGCAGATGTTAGCATGCTAACATGTTAAACTGAGATGCTAACAAGCTGCTGAACATCAGCATGTTAGCCTCGTCATTGTTAGCATGTTAGCCTCGTCATTGTGGGAACTGCCCACTACCCTTGTATCTCGACCAGTAGCCTGCTTTAGTTGTGTTTGCTGATCCTCTATGGTACACAAATACAGTGTAGCATAGTATAATCACATATCGGAACAACGGGACGTTGGACCAATGACATGGACCCGTCATTGTTAGCATGTTAGCATACTGAGATTGGCACTTAACTCAGATAATTTCTGTACATAATGATAATAATAATAATTATAATAATAATAATAAATAAATAACAAACTTTATTTATACAGCACCTTTCATAAAAGAAATGCAGCACAAAGTGCTTTACAATAAGGACAGAATAAGAACTGAGTACTTCACATGAAAACAGACATAATGGACATAAAACAGGCAAAGCAGTTCAATATAAAACCATTAAAAAACTGTTTTAAACACGGATTAACTGACTCATAAAATCATCGAATTGTAAAACTATAAATCATGAAATTAAAGTAAGATTGTAAAACAGTTGCAGCAGCGTGGAGTGTAAATAGATAGAGATTCAGACCTGTATGAGGAAAGTCAGAGGAAGTTAAAGTCTAAAGTGAACAGATACATATTTAGCTTTCTGTTAAAAATATTTAGCGAGCTAGCTTCCCTGATATCTTTAGGCAGTGAATTTCACTGACAAAGGCTGCATCCCTGATCTTCTTCCAGCAGTTTCTGGGAACCTCCAATAAACCAGCATCAGATGATCACAGTGTTCTTGGAGGCTAATAGTCAACAAGGGAGTTAGCGATGTAGCTCGGTCCCAGCCCATGCAGGGCTCCTTATATACAAGGAGGAGGAGCTTAAAATCAATTCTAAATGTAACAG